GGTTGGGCTTCCCGGGCCGGGCCCGCCGAGCTCTGCCGGGGCCACGTGGGGACCGCGCGGGAGCGGGGGGAGAGCGGTTTTGGGGAGCCGCGGCTTCCCTGAGCGGGACCCCAGAGAGAGGAGAGCCCCGGAGCCGCAAAGCGGGGACCCCGAGAGGGGGGGGACCCCTGGGATTCCCGGGACCCCGGCGGGGGGTGCTGGGGCTGGAAGGGCGGCATGGCCGGGAAAGGGGTTCGGGGCTCCCTGTGCCGGCAGTGGCTGCTCCCAGGATGAGCCCAGGTGATCCTTCCGTGGGGTTCCAGTTTCCTCCTCTGCACTCCCTGTATGAGCCCAGTCAGTCCCGGTCATTCCCTATTATGATGCCATTTTCCCGCAGCACGGTCCCAGTTGCTCCCAGTTGCTTCAGCTTTTGTCCAGTGCGCTCCCAGTTCTCCCAGCATACTGTCCCTAGTGTAGCCACAGTCACTCCCAGTATGATGCCAGTATATCCCAGCAGGGCCCCAGTCACTCACACTTGTCCCCAGTTGCTCCAAGTGTGGTCCCAGTTACCACCTGCACGATCTCAGATGCTCCCGGTGTATCCCAGCTGCTCTGAGCATTCTTGTAGTCATAGCCAGGCACTCCCAGCTACCTCAGCATGGTTCAGTTGCCCCTGCTATTGTCCCAGTCACTCCCAGTACATCCCGGTTGTCACCAGCATGCAACCTGTCATTCCCAGTTGCTCCCAGGATGTATGCATGCTCCAGCATGGGCCTGGGAGCTGCCAGTAATCCCCAGTCAGGATCCAATCACACCCACTATAATCCCCCTATGATTGTAGCCAGTCCCAGTATGATCCCGGTCACTTGCAGTCTAATTCCGGTCACTCTCGGTATGAGGCTCTCCTGCTCCATCTCCCAGCCCAGCCCGGCCCCGGCTGCAAGACGGCCCCGCTGCCGGCGCCGTCCTGCCGGGGACGCGTCGTGGGGGGATCTCCTTCCCCTTTCCCTCTGGCACAGAGGCAAATCCCATCCTCTCCTTGCCCTTCCTCCCCCAGACAAGGAGCTGAAGATGGAGACCAGGGAGGACAAATCCCCGCGGCAGAACCTCGTGGAAGAGGCCGTTTTGAGCGGCTCCGTGGCGCAGGAATCCGAGGGGGAGGAAACGCCCCGGAGATCCCGCAGGAGGAGGGACTCCAACCCCAGCCCAGGGTGCTCTGAGGAGGAAAGACCCACCCTGTGCCGGGAAGGCGGCCGGAGATCCAGCCAGAGCTCTGAGCTGGTGGTCCGTGAGCAGCTTCATGATGGGGAGAAGCCCCACAAGTGTTTGGAGTGTGGGAAGAGCTTCAGCTGGAGGTCCCGCCTGATTCGCCACCAGATGATCCACACCGGGGAGAAGCCCTACGAGTGTCCTGAATGTGGGAAGGGCTTCAGAGACAGCCCTGGCCTGATCATCCACCATCGTATCCACACTGGGGAGAGGCCCTTTGAGTGTGGAGAATGTGGCCAGAGCTTCAGTCGGAGCTCCCACCTGACCTCCCACCAGAAGATCCACACAGGGGAGAGGCCTTACGAGTGTTCCGAATGTGGGAAGAGGTTTCAGACTAGCTCCCTTCTCCTCGTACATCAGCGGATTCACACGGATGAGAGGCCCTACCTCTGCCTCGACTGCAGGAAGGGCTTCAGGTACAACTCCCACCTTATCAGGCACCGGCGCATCCACACCGGGGAGAGGCCCTATAAGTGTCCCGAGTGTGGGAAGAGCTTCAGGACTAGCTCGGTCTTGAACCAACACCAATGGAGACACCGGTAAGAGAAGCCCTGCGAGCTCCCCGACTGCAGGAAGAGTTTTGTCCTCTGCTCCGACTCCATCCCCCTGCAGAGGACCCACATTGAGGAGAGCCTTGGTGACTCACATTCCTGGTAATCCAGGTTGGGAGGACACCTGAGTGGTGGTCTCTACGTCCTCCTGGATCCCTGTGGGTGCCTGGATGTACGATGGAGCAGGAACATGCAGATCGACAATGGAAACTCGTTGGGAAGAACTGATCTTTTGACTTTGCACCCTAAAAAATCTGCTCTGTCCAATTGTTTCTCCTGGTGGCATTGAGCAAAGCTGGATGATCCTTGGAGATCTTTTCCAACGTAAATAATTTCCATCTTCATCCCATCAAAACACTCAGAATTACGGTAAAAATAAAGACGTTAAACAAAGCGATCTAAAGCTGCACCATTTTACTGGGATTTGGGGTTCAGAGGAGTAGTCGGGTAGATTTGTGTGTTGTAGAGCCGTGAAGCCAGGTAGATGGGGCTGCAATTTCATAGTTGCACTGGCAGAACGTGTCCATCTGAGCCCATCTGTTCTCTAGGAATTCCGGTTGTCTGTCTGAGTCCCTGGCCTGGGTCTCCCCATATTGAGTGTTCCTCCCAAAGGGACCAAATCGCTGCTGAAGTGCCCAAGCTGCTCCTGGCTGGGGATGTTCCTGTCCACCAACCTCCCCTGCTCTGCAGCCCCCAATTGCCCAGTGACAGCTGCTGCTCCCACAGGAAAATGGTCTTGGGGAGCATTTGAAGCACAAGCTCAAGCCCAGCGCAATGCCAGCCCCTGCCCGGCTGCGTGTGAACTCCAGGAGGGGAAGGAGGGATTGATTTGGAAGCTCCTGAGTGCCCTCAGTGCAGCTGGGTCCAGAGCCATCCCCACCTCGCCGAGCAGCAACTGTGGAGCAGGAGCCGTGCCTGATGTGCCACATCGGTGTTCAAGTGACCAGGCCATGGAGAAAGGCTGAGGGGGCAGGTGCTGGGGCAGGGGCAGTTGGGCTGGGGCAGGGCTCTCCAACCGCCCTGGATGTGGAACTGGAGCCTGGCAACTGCCAGAACGGCCGATGGAGCCCCCACAGGTGAGTTGGGAAGGGGCAGCTTTCCCTGTGCTGGGCCCGGAGGGGGCCTGAGTGGCCCTGGGCCATCCCATGGGGAACAGTTCCCTTTTGGAACAACAAGGCGTTCCTGGGGGGCTGTTCGAGAGCTGGCGACAGCTTTGGTGCTGGCCATGGGGACAGGCCTGGCAGGGAACGGGGGCTCCTGTCCAGGCCACCCACATCTCCCATCACCATGGGCAGTAACCAGGGAGCAGCTTTTCATTGCATTCCCAGCACCCCAGTTTACAGCCCAGCCTCAGCACTTCCCAGAGACCACAATGGGTTTCCCCCAGTCCCGTCACGGATGATTCCTAGTGGCCCAGAAGAGCCCACAGGAAGTATCAGGGTGTGCTCGGGGAGCTGGAGCACTTCTGCTATGGGAAAGGCTATGAGAACTGGGACCGCTCTGCCTGAAGAAGGCTCAGGAGAGACTTTAGAGCTCCTTCCAGCCCCTGAGGGGACTCGGGGAGTGTTGGGGAGGTACTGGAGACAAGGACCTGCAGGGACAGCGCAAGGGAGAGTGGCTTCAAACTGACAAATGGATCAATTTGCATCTTGTGAAGAAATTCCTTCCTGGAGGAGGAATGGTGAGGAGGGTGGAGAGGCCCTGGCACATGTTGCCCAGAGCAAACAGGTTGCCCTGGAAGTGTTCAAAACCCAGGCTGGATGAGGCTCTGAATAACTTCCCTTTTGGTGTTCTCATCAAGTAAGACACTTCCCTGCAGGTTGCTTGTTCTGTTTTCAGACTCTGGGGTTGAAAGTATTCCCGAGGAGGGGAGAAAGCTGAGCTGGAATTCCTGAGCTGGAGTACGCTGGGAAAGCGTATTTAGGACCGACTGCCTCAGGGACAGCCACGCAAACCTGAGTGTGCTCTTGCCTGTGCTCTTCCAGGTGGCCCAGGAGTTTGGACTGAGCCAGCAGTTCCCTTCCCACATGTTTCCTCAACAGGGACTTTCCTCAAGAGCCCCTGAGGTGAGTACAACTGTGCTGAGCTGGCTCAAGACCCTTTTGAAATTGGACTTAAGGAAGGGAACTGCAGGAACCCTGCAAGGGGGAAGCTGCTTGGCCGCGGCTGTCCTGTCTGTCCCTGATGGGGTTCATTTCTCTGTGCCTGATTTCTGGATCCCCATTTTACCCCAGAGGAAACTTCATTTCATCTTGTTTGGTGCTAAAATCATTTAGGCATTTATTATTAAATTATTATTATTTATTATTAAATTAAAGCATTTTCAGAAATTACTTCTGGAAACCAGAGTTCTCCTGGGGCATTTTGTGAAGGCAAGCCGTGACAGGGACAAGAATGGCTTTAAGCTGAAAGAGATTGAGACTGGACATTAGGAAGAAACTCTTGGCTGTGAGGGTGCTGAGGCCCTGGCACAGGTTGTCCAGAGGAGCTGTGGCTGCCCCTGGATGCCTGCAAGTGTCCAAGGCCAGGCTGGACAGGGCTTAGAGCAGCCCGAGATAGCAGAAGGTGTCTCTGCCCGTGGCAGGGAGATGGAACGAGATGGGCTTTGAGATCCATTCCAATCCAAACCATTCTGAGATTCTCTGAAATGACTTTAGATCCCACGATTGTCTCCTCACCTCACGCCCCCTCTCTTGCAGGCATGGCAGGAGGCAAAAGAACACAAAGAACGATCCCGGAGTGGCGCAGATAGAGCGAGCCGTAAACGGAAAGCAGGAAGCCTTGGAAATGTGTCCGGGACAAAAGCGGAAACACCAGCAGAGAGCGGCACAGGGCCATTCCCGAGCGCTCCGCTTCGCATCCCTCTCTCTAGGCTCAGGGAAATAGAAGCGGAGCTGATTTGCGCCGACGAGGCGGACGCTGAGTTTGAGTCTGGCGAGCCGGTGGCGCCAGCAGTGCCACCAGCAGTGCCACCGGCAGCGGCTCAGCCCCCTGGCCAAGCCCCAGGGGACAGCCGGTGGCACCGGGCTGGGGCAGGGCTGCAGGCAGCCCTGCGGGAAGGCAGCGCTCGGTGCCGGCAGCGGGATTTTGCAGCGGCTGCGGCCAAGTTCTCCATGGCACTGGAGGTAAAGGGCTGTGACCCCAAGCAAAACCGTGACAGGGGTACCTGCACTGCAGTGCCAGGGCTGTTCCCCGCACTCCCTGGGGCAGGAACAGCAAAGGGAACCAGGGGCACCAACCTGGCATGCCTAGGGTCGGAGAGAAATCCAGAAATGCCATTTCACCTGAAATCAGAAAACTGGGGCTTGTAAATAAACCACAGAAGGGAGGGAAGTGTTGGACTGAACTGAAGAAGGACAGGTAATTTCGTACTTTTCTCCAAGTTCTTAACTGTATTAATGTGTGGAGGAAATTGAAGTCCCAGAGAGTAAAAAAAAATGCTCCTTTCTTTAATCTTAGCTCTGTCGGCAACAAATGTCCTCTCAATAACTGGCGAGTTGTCACTTTGCCCCAGCTAATGCTTTCTCTCCTCTCTGACTCCAATCCCTTCAGCCAGGCACTTGAAACCCTGAGAAAGGGACCAACTGCGCTTTTTTTTAGCACTGTCCTGCCAACCTTCATTCAGCAGTATTTGTCAAATATTAGGGTTTTGCAGTTCACAATATAATGTAATAGCCTATTCCTAATTTTTTTTTAATACAGTACTTAAGTAATTTTATAAGCAATAAATGTTATAGCAGTCAGTGCTATTATTTTGATAAAGTGTCATCCTTTTAAAGTGCTTGTTTTCCCCCTATATTCTGATTTGAGCTGTGGTACCAGCAGGTCACTGAAGAAGAAAGAAGGACTTTATTTCCTCTTAAGAGGAAAAGCTGATGAATGCACATACCAGGAAAATGGATGAAGGGATTAATCCCTGGGATTGCAGACAAAGCAATTGGGACTGACTTGAAAGAATTGTAGGGCTGGCGCTCCTCAGCAGTCTCTAAATCCAGCTCTCCTCGGAAACAAAAAAACCCATAGCATCCCTGAAAGACCCTTCTGTCCTCTGTACTGGTTTTTGTAATGCTGACTTTAGTTAAAGCCAGAGTCTATTAGACTTCCGTTTTCTCCGCTGATCAGTCGCAAAAAGTATTTCCACCGAGCAAACGGTGTATTCTAATATTTGGAAATTGTGGTTTTGTTTCATGTGCAGCTTTGCAGTAAAGGCTTTGCTATAGAGGATCCCTTGAAATCCTCCCCAGATGACATTTCCAGGCTTGCCAGTTGGATCGAGTCAAAGCTCGTCGTCTGCTACTTAAAACTGGAGCAGCCTAGTCTTGCTCTGCATCATTCACACAGGTAAGAGGAAATATGGATCGGATTCGCTGCTAAGACTGAAATCCAAAAGGAAACAAAGACTAGGAATAAATGCTGTGCAGGAAAAGCCAGTCTAATAGTGAGAAAAGAGGAATCAAGAAAACACACCTTACATGTGGCATTGGTGTTTGGACTGGACTAATTGCATCTGTTGAAGGGTCTGAAACGCAGCCCAAGGTTCACCCACGTTGCACCTATGCCTTGTACAGAGAGCATTTCAAAATATCTCAGGCTCACCTTCTGATACATTCCAGATGCACAGTGCTTCCAGGGAGATGAACCAGACACCTGCTGCTCTTGTTTGGGGAGCTGGGGGTTATCAAGAAGTTGTGCTGTAGCACTTTGGGTTATGTTACCTACATTCTCAAGGCAAGTGAGAATATTACCCGTGGAACATTTTTTTTAGAGCAATACACAAACCCCTAATGAAATTTCATTGAAGATAAAACCACAATGAAATGAACCTTTAAGTAACATTTTTAGTAATATTTTCAGTAATATTTTCTTCATTGATCACAGCTGGAGAGAGAGGGAGATGGAGGCAGAGAGACAGTTCACCTGGCATTTGAGATGTAGCGCTGAGTTGTAGAGCAGAAGTGCATACGGCGTCTGCCTCAGTCACCGCTTGATTCTTAGGAGTTTAATGAAGTAAGAAATCCAAGTCTAACCTTGTCCATCTCTCTTCTCTCCCCAAGGAGCATCATTCAGAATCCCTCTCACTTCTGCAATCACCTGCGCCAAGCCACTTGCTTTCGGTGCCTACACAGATACTCGGAGGCTGCCAGGTACCTCTGCTGTTCCGGCTTCCACAGGGCTCCTCTGCATCGCTTTCCTTGCAGCTCTCAGCAGTGACGCGTCCCCTAGGAGCCACGCTTTTCCCAAATCTGTGGAAGCTTTGCACTGGCTTAGTGTGCGTGACCTCAGGGACAGGAGAGCTCCACTCTTCCCAGCCTGTGTAATGAGAAAAATCCCAATTTAATCCTCTAAATAAAAATAAAATAAAATTAAATTAAATAAAACAATCCTCTAAATTATATCCCTGGCTATTTGCTGGCAGGGAATTTAGAGAGCTAAAAATGTGTTTGCTGACGCTTGTCTAAAAGCTGGACGAGGACTGGGAGTTCTCTGTAACCTTTGGTATTAAGCTCACTCAACAGTCTTTGAACCGGATACCCTTTCAGTCTGGCCACAGAGCCTCTTCTCTGCCTGCACGCTTCTCTCTCTGCTTTTATCTTCAGGAGTGCCATGGTCGCGCAGTGTCTGTATGTCCTGGCTGAAGGTGCGGGGCTGGAGACCAGTGACCTCCTCCAGCTGTACTGGCAGGTAATAACTGAAGGCCTGGGGAGGACTCACAGAATGGGCTAAGTTGGGAGGGATCCGCAAGGATCACTGAGACTAACTCTTGGCCCTTCGCAGGACCATTCCCAAGAGTCACGCCCTGTGCCTGAGAGTATTGTCCAACTGCTCCTGGAGCTCCTTCAGGCTTGGAGCTGTGACCGCTTCCCCAGAAGCCCATTCCAGTGCCCGACCACCCTCTGGGGGAAGAACCTGTTCGTAATAATCCAACCTAAATGTCCCCTGACACATTAATTCTGGATACAGCCGATGAAGGCATTTTTTCCTAAGTCTTCCTGATGTGACTTTCAGAGAGCATGGAATCACTTTTTCTCTCCATCCAAAAGACAGTTTTTCTTGTCCCTGTCTCCTCCTTGAAGATGGAGGCTCATGGAGTCAATCATCCAAACCACGTGGTGGTTTTTTTTTTTTAGAGACCCTAGTCTCTACGCAACATGAAATGTATAGTTTCTTTGCCATTTTTTAGGCTATGATTCAAGAAGCCATCCGTGGAGAAAGTTCTTTTTCGGCTCTGTATACACCTTTTGAGAAAGAGGACAAGGCTGACAAAATAAAAGAGGCAAACAAAACCTTTGCTGAGAAGCACCCTGACTATGTGCAGCACATATTTACAGGTAACAGCAGGTTTCAGCTGACCTTAAGTGCTGTGGACTGTGATTGTGCAGCTGAATGCAAAAGAGTTGGAGAGAGCTGGAGAGTTTGAGCTGCTTGGCCTTCAGACACTTACACACTGCTGAGGGGAATTGGGCAAATATGCTTTATCTCATGCATCAGCAAAATTTAAGCTGTTGATGCAAAAGGCTGCAGAGCCCTAAGATGCAAAGCCCAGTGAGAGCTGGATGTGTTGGTTTTGTCATCTGTGTTTTGGCAAGGTTTCTGGAGACCGTATCATTCCTTCTTAGACTTCCCTTATTTTTCTCCAAAAAAGTAACTTCTCTTACAGCTGAAAAGAAATATGACAGTGGAAATTATTTTCCTTTCCCTATGCAGATCCTCATGGAATTCACCTGTTGCCAGAGAAGGCTGAATCTCATCCTGACCAGCAGTACTTACTGACTCTGGGCTTTAGAAACAAAGAGATTGGAAAAACTGTGGAGAAGTTTGTAACTCGAAAACTGCCAGTCTTTCCAGGTGTGCCAACTTGCTTCAGAACTGTCTGGGCTCAGGGGTGACTCCCACAGTCCTTACTAAATGAGGGGGCGAGGGGTGTCTTGGGACCCATTTCCATCAGTGCCAGCAGCCCTGATAGCCCAGGCAGCTCTTCCCACCTGCTTCGCTCCTCCTCCAGTTCACCCAACGTCCTGCTAGATCCCCTAAAAAAATGGAGATGAATAAACACAGCCTCTGTGGTTCTGTGATTTCACTTCCTAGGACAGAAAATAACTTTCAGTCCCAGCATGGAGGAAGCAGCAGAAACATTTTGGCAGAACACTGGGGAAAGGATCATGGCAGCCATGGCTTTTCTAGGAAGCACCAAGATAAAGGTGAGCATCCTATTCCCTTTCTGGTATGCAGTGTGTGGGAAGGACATGTGCTTTTGGGGAACAATTCCTGCTCCACGTGCTCCTCCAGTGTCCAGAAATGCTCTACGAATTGCAGGAGGAACAGAGCTCCAGTGGGTTTAGACTCTTTTGAAAAGGAGTTCTAATGACTTAACAGTAACCAGAGTTTCTTGAAAGTTCCTCTGCATGCAATTTTCTCCAGTCTTTATGTCCTATGATATTATATCCCTACTTCACATAATCACCAACACAATTACTCTATTTCATACCTATAGTATGAATAGGGACTGCACCTCCCACGCGGAGCTCCATCGAGAGTTAATTGTTGCTTCTTGAAGCATTTCTAGTGACTGAGATCCCGATCCCACTGGAGTGAAGGTGTGAAGTAACCTTTCCACCTATCACAATGACATCTTTATTTTCCTAGTCCTACTAGAGAGCTTGTGGCAAGAAAGTCTGTTTGTTGCCTCTCTGAAGCCTGTCCCAGCAGCATGGCCTGAGAAGTGGTGGCTGGCACACTGCTGAGAGCAGGACCGGCACAAACACAGATGAGAAACCTTGAGGCACAGGACTCCAAGGATCAGGGTGTTCCCTGCGCCTCCCCTCTGACCTCCTCTCTTTTCCTGGGCAAGCAGGATGAGCGTGGCCCGTGTGCACAGGCCATTGAGCAGTTCCATCATGCCAGCCTGCTCAGCCACCTGCAGAGAGGGGAGGAACAGGCCCAGGTAATAACCCAGGCGATGGCTGAGCTGGCAACTGTTCCCTACCTGCAGAGAGTCTCTGAGGAGGATGACAAGCTGGTAGGTTTTGATTTCCAACACTTGTATTGGCCTCTGCAGGCTGAGAGACAGAGCAGGAAGGGCCAGGGCAGAGTTCTGCACTACCACCCTTTGTCCTTTGTGGGGACCTGAAAAGAATCCTCAAATCCTCCTTCATTCAGTGCTTTGCCAGAGGAGGAGCTGATCACCTGCAAGGGTGACTGATGGAACCACCAGGACTCACCTGTCAGTATCTATTGAAAATCCTGTCTTTGTCCCCAAAACCTCCCCAAATCGGTGTGGAAAAATGATTGCAATGATTCAGCTCATGCTGCCTTGACAGCTCTGACCTCAGAAGGCAGCTGCATCAAAATAGCCTGAATTGGGGTATAGCTGAGAAGGAGACGGGGAAAGGAGGAAAAACTGATTTTCTGTGCTGGGTCCATCCCCCACATGCTCCCTGCCTCAGAACAAACCTGTCTGCCTGCTCACGGTAACTTGTCAGACTTGCTGCACAGGTGTCCCAAAGTCAGTAAGGAATCCGTCAGGCTGTAGTGAAATGTGGACTGTGCCCTTGGCTGACCCAACGCTGCTCCAGCAAGGGCCAGCAGTGGGATGACTGCTGCAGCCAACGAGGCCAAAAGTGATGGTATCCAAGGGGTTTGGGCAAAAAAGAGGAGGGGGAAACATCTCCTTCTTGCTGTGCATCAGTGGACAGATGGTGTCTCTCCTCCTCCCCTGAAGGGACACCTCTGGGTAAGCCTTGTGCCTTGAGCACACCCAGGAACACTAATACCCAGATACATAGTGCTAGTAGATCTTACTTCTTTCTCACCAGTAAAACGCTTGTGAAGAAACTCCAGAAGCTTTTATTTGGATTTCCTTTAACTTAACCCAACATTTTGGAGGATAATTATTTAGAGTGCAGCAGTAGCACAGGTCTCAAGTACCGGTTTTCCTCAGTTTCTTCCTAAACATTGATGCTAAGGGCAGGACAACCTGGATCCAGCCCTTGTCTCTGTGTTTCTGAATTAAGAGTATCTAAACCATTTTCCAGGGGTTTGGAAGGGTTCAGGGTGAGGCAATGTCAGGACTACCCTGGAAAAGGACTGTGGGGAGGCAATACTGAAGTATTTTAGGTTCACAAGAATGCAGTGCAAGGGCTGAAGCAAAGATGAGTTGGTCATGCTCGCTGTGTGAAAGATGATTCACAAAATCATCAGAGTGCCAAGGATTTGAACCGGGGTTTAATTTGTGTATTCAGAGAAATGATTTCTCTGTGAATTCCACATTGATTGTATCTCTGTGCCACAGCTGCAGTCACTGATGGCAGATGCCATGGACATCCTGGCTGAAAGAACTGGAGAGCGTGTGTGGACTAAAATACAGAAGGTAACAGCCTGCAGCAAAGGGCAGGAGAGGAGCTTGCTCCTTGGGCAGGAACTGTCCCTGAGTCTGGTCTGTTCAAAAGGCATAAATAAGAGGAGGTGCCATGTGAAACCTGGTCCCATGCCTTGGCCTCTGTCCATGCTCAGGCACCAGCTCAACCAGACCAGACATGTCTATGATTTGCCTGGGAGGCTCTGGCTGCATCCCTGCTGTGCAGAGACCATTGCAGCTGATCTGCTGCAGCAGGAACGGTGCAGTGATGTCAGCAACTGATGTGCCAGATTAGTTCTTATTTGGGGGGCCGGACCTACTCTATACATATGAAAAGCACAGGCAGACCACGCCAAACCACGGTTCCAGGTAGGAACATCATTCCTCTGCTGTTTCCTGGTGGCATCCCCAGCAGTGCAGACACTGCTGGATGCTCCTAAAGGGCTGCTGTAAATCCTGCTGCTGTTCCGGTGTCCCCTTTGTCCTCACTCCACACCCCACCCATCGCTTAGGACCCATTTTCCTTCCTCTTTCTGCCCTTTGTGCTCACCCAGACACCAGCAGTACCCCCAAACAGAACAGGCACGTTTAATGGCAGAGCAAAGTCATGTAGACACTTTCATTTGGTCTCTGGCAGAAGAGTCTTGGGAGCTCAGTGGTTGTGGCTAATAGGGCCAGGCCCTGCACTGGACCCCTGCGCTACGGGATCAATTGCACCCAGACTCCCTGTATGCTTTTGGCCAGTCCATGATTTCCTAGGCTTTTATTTCAACTTCATCAAAACAAGACTGGCACCAGGAATCCTCTTCCTAATCCTCTGCGTGTTTCTATGCTGAGCACATCACAGCAGAGACAGCCCACGAGGCTCTTTTGAGGGCTCCAGGCTCCTCGTGCTCCTGTTGCAATGGATCTCTTGACAGCAAAGGAGCCAAAGCCCAGGTACAAGTGCCCATCGAGCTTCACCAGCACAGCAGAAAACTCTTTTCCATGGCATCATGCATGGTGCTATGTGCAGGCCATCCCCTCAACAGGTCCCCCTGGCCAGCTCCATGGGCAGGAGGAGGCAGAGCTTCTCTCCCAGACCCTCTGTGCCCTCAACACCCCAGGGCAGCCGATGGAACTTTCCTGCTTGCCTCTCTCAAAAACACACCCTCCTCACCGACCCAAAGCATGGCCAGAGCATGTGGCATGGCTTCACTCCAAGGCCAGGGCTGAGGAGCACTTAAGGGACAGCTCATGACACGGATCAATACAAGAGAAAGCCATGTTTGGATTAATTCCCAGTCTGTTCCTCTGAAAAGTCACACTCCCCTGAATGCCTGTCAGCATGGCAGAGCAGGATTTTTTTTTTTTTTCTTTTAATTATTTCAGCTTAAAATGCAACGGGCAGATTGATTCTTTAGATCTTCCCACGATGCAGGGTCTGCATCTTGAGTAGAACCCTGCGTGAAGGGAGTCTGTTCCACAGCAATGAAGGAACTGAATCCAAACAGAAATGGAGAAAACAAAAATAATGACAAAGTCAGGTACTTCTGCTGCAACCAGTTCCCCAAGAGGAGCCTTCATGTATTTTTGTTTCTAATGACTATCAGTTTTGAAATAAACTAATTGCAACAACTTTTAAAGTTTTTATGGAAGCAAATGGACTTGCTTGAGACACCACTTCTTTCTAATTGCAGGTGGCACTAATTGAAGAGTACTTGAGGGAAGGAGAAGAGCATTACTTAAGAACTCCACATGTGCAAATACCTGGAATGGAAAACATCAACTGGACTCCAAGGGGACAGAAATACTTGAGACTGGAAAATACAAACATGTTCATTCCCAACCCACGAAGCTTAACCACAGGTCCAAAAAAAAGACACATTGTTTTTGCAAAAAGTTGATTTTGTAGGTATTTTGTAGCCATTCATACCAATTTGATAGATGTTAATCTTATTTTACATTGTATTAACTTGAAGTTGTATAAATTTAAATTGTAGCCAATTGTATTAAACTATATAAATTGAACTTGTATTACCTTAAATTTAAGTGGTATTAAGTAGTATTTACTTGCATTAACTTTAAATTGTATGAATTTAAACTTGTATTAAACTGTATTTAGTTCTATAAATTTAAGTTGTATTACTTTAAAGGGTATTGAACAGTATTTGCTTGCACCAGCTTTAGGTTGCATGAATTTAAATTCTATTAAATTTTATTTAATTGCATAAAACTAGGTTGTATCAGTTTAAATTTCAATTACGTTAAATAGTATTTACTTGCATTAACTTTAAGGTATATGAAAAAAGGCTTAAGTTGCATTCAATTAGATTTACTTGTATTAATTTTAAATTGCATGAATTTCAATTTAAATTGCATTTAATGTAAACTTTTAAACTGTATTTGTTTAAATGTCAGCTGTAGTAAATGGTCTTTAATGCTTTAAAATGTGAGTTGTACAAATTTCAATTTAAATTTTACTCAGATGTGTTAAACTTTACTGCACTGTATTTAATTTAACATTGCCAGCAACACCAATCTGCTGCTCTGAGCCTACCCTGTGTCCAAGCTCTGTCACATCCTGCTGGCCTGACCACGGCCCGAGCAGTTCTGGACGCAGGGATCCCCCATCCTCAGCTGGGCACAGCAGAGCCTCCCTCGCCTTCCCCGAGTCACCCGGACCGTCCCAAGGGGAAAAGTGGCCCTGAAGGCTGCGGGAGCTGCAAGGGCAGGGACACAACAGGAGGGGGAAAGGAGAAAGCAAATGCGGAGCCCAGCTGCTGGGCCGGGGTTGGGCTGGCAAGTCCTTTGTTCTCCTCGGTGCCCCAAGGGCGGCGTTTGCCCGCACTGGACGGGAACTGGCGCCAAGCGGGGCACAAACCCTGCAGGGAGAAGAAGAGCTGCCCTTGCCTTCTCCGGGCTCCTCTCGGCCTCAGGACTCCGCCCCACGTCTCTACCTGTCCCGGGGACACGTCTGGCACGGTTCGGGTTCTCAGGGCCCCGGAGCTGTCAGCAGGGAGCAAAGGACAGCTTTTCCCCGGAGATCACCCGAGCAGCTGATGCTCCACCTGCAGCCCCAGCTCATGGGTGCGGTCCCTGCTGAGCCTGAGCTGCCTTTTGGCCACGGCGTTTTTGCAAGGGAAGAACCTCACTCATCCTTACAGAAACCACATTCTGTCATGGCATTTTCTGATTCAAGGGGAATTTTAAAGCAAAAAGACAGAAAGAAAGGCAAAATCCAGCACCAGGCCAAAGACTGAATGAAAAGTCCAGGGCCTAAAAGGTATTGAACCACTTAATTCCCATGATCTTTTATCACAGACAGGAGTCTCAACCCCACAGATTCTCAGCTGCCAGAGACCATTTTCCCAGGTTCTCAGAAAAGATATGGAAAAACTAAGAAAGAACTGGCAAACCCTTGGTGCTCCTTTGCTCATTGTGCAAGGAGTAAAGTAGAAAGAAACAGTTTTGCAAAAATCTGAGCTCCTTAAACATGCAGAACAGAGAGAGGAACTCTTTGGAAATGACATTATTTTGCCACGGAGTTGGTTTTATCAGGTGGGGTTTTATGACACCCAGTGGCAATGATCATCCATGACGGGCAGATCTGCACTAACGCACAAAGATGTTCTTCACAGATCACAGAGTCACAACACAGACTTTGGAAAATCCTAAACAAATCCTCTTAGTTGGAGATGATATCTATATAACTTGGGTCAAAGTTACAAGATGCTTATATAGCTTGAGTTATAAGATACCAATATAAACTAAATCATAACTTTCTATACAATGTATAGCTTGTATATGGTTAATTAGTTGCTTAATGCTTAAATAAACAGAAACTCACTAGGTGAATAATCTCAAAAATAGACAAGCATAGCTATATTGAGAAGCAGCAGGATGTACTAATGAGAAATTGGCAAATGTAAAGCAAATTAGCCACAAAATGGAGAATTTAGACCATTTGCACCCAGAAAGACCAAGGAACACCATAACTGTGCATGCTCTGAAGACAAAGTTGAAATGTTCAGGAAGACCTTGAGTCTTCATCAAAGAAAACACCCAAGACCACCTAAATTTGGCATGTGCAAGCACAGTACAGAAGAACTATTTATAACTATGAGATAACATTATGTAAGTTAGCTCTGACGTGTACATGACGATGTTATAATGACATTGCAATATTAAGCAATAATTACTGTATAAATAAACTACAGCACATGACAAATGTGGGTGAGTTAGGTGGAGATATCCCACTCCCCATCAGCACTGCAATAAACAGGTACCTGCTCTATAGACATCTGTCTGTGGGGATTTATTTTCAGCCTTTTTCAGGCAACAGAGGCAAGTGGCCTTATGATGCTGCAATACTTAATCCCTTCCAATAGTTACAGCGAACTCTGAGAGATCCCAGAAGGTTGTTTTTCCAGAACAAGCCCCAAAGAGACACAGTGTGGAGCGGAGGTGCCTCCCCCTTGCGAGGAGGCTCCATGAGCAGCACCAGCAGCCCCGAGGGCCCAGCTCCTGCCGCAGGTGTTTGTGCCCCAGACACACTGCCTGGCCAGGCAGCCTAGGAGCTGCACAGCAACAAAAGCTTTTCATGACCCCACAAAAAAGTTTAAACCAACTTTAAATTCAAGTGTCTTGAAAGAATCCCAGTCTAATAGACACTGTCTGTAAAACATCATACAGCACATGGTGCTGTACAGTTTCCCACTGGATCTGTGAAAATGCTTCTACCAGTCTCCCTCAGACTTTTCCCTCCAAGCCCAGCTCAGCCCAGGTCCATGTCCATTTTCAGGGAAAACGGGAATCAGCTACCTCGAGCACCCGCAGGCCCAGCAAGGCCAAGGCCGGGCCGGGCCACTCCCTTCAGGCCCCTCTATGGATGCGGTGCTCTCTCACGATTGACACCTGGTTAAAAGAGCTTCCATAACCTCACCCGGGTCTCCTGGGTTCCCTGAAGCCCCTCTGTATCACACCAGCCCCTGACTTCCAGGAGCTTCCGCAGTGGCCCAGTGGCTCCTTGGTTCCATGAGTGGCTGGCTTAGAGCTCCTGCCCCCTCAGCTGCTTGGGGAGAGGCTGTAGAAACAGCGTGCAGACGGTGCCATCACGCTTCTGTCCCCACGCCTGTGCCCGACTGTGCCACGCTCTTGGCGCGGAACCCCCGCAGCGAGGGCTCGGCTCAGGTGAGCGGCGCCAGCGGCGCTGCGGCTCCGCCGCCCCTCCTTGGCCCCGCCCCCTTCAGCCGCAGCCACGCCCCTGGAGCGGCCCCATCCCCTCCCACCGCCTCCAGATTGGCTGCTGGGCCGCTGGCCCCGCCTCCCTCAGCCCTCCCCCGGCAATGGCAATGATCCCTCATTAGCATAAAC